CTCAAAGTTAGATGAACTTTAATGGAATAAGTCAAAATCATGTGCTACCTGATAGGATGCAATGAGAACACAGCATCACTTCTGTGATATTCCTGCCAAAGATGTACAACCTGACCCTAATCTTGAGGAAACACGAAATAAACCCAAATAGAAGTATATTCCACAAAACAAATAGGCTGTCATCTTTAAGTGTCAAGATTGTGAAGGTCGAGAAAAACTGTGGAAAGTTTCCAATTTTAAGAGACTAAGGAAGGGCGCCTGGGTGGCTCATTAGGTTGAGCGCCTGACTTCAACCCAGGTCATGATCACAGGGCTCGCGGGTTTGAGCCCTGCCTTGGGCTTTGGACGGGTGGAGAGGAGCCTAATTCAAATTCTCTGCCCCCCTCCCTACCCCCTCTCTCTGCCCCTCCTACACACTCTCTCTCAAACATAAATAGACATTAAAAAAATAAAAATAAAAGACTAAGGAAACATGACAATGAAATGCAATGCATGATTCTGACCTGGGTTCTTTTGCTATTATAGATAATATGCGGACATGTGGCAAAACTTGAGCGAGGTCTGAGTGTTAAGACAGCAGTAATGTGTTTTCCAGTTTTGAAGGTTGTGCGGTGGTTATGTATGGGAATGTTCTTGCTTATAGGAAATATACAGTAATATAGTCAGGAGTGACAGTAACTTACTCTCAAGTTTGAGACTGTGCAAAATCAAACCGTTTGAGAACTGATTTTCCACAGGTTTGAGACCTGATTTTATATACTTGAGGCTTTCTTCACCGTGCACTTAGATTCTTTCAGGTGTCACACCCTGTTTGAATGTATCCAATGACTGCCATCTCATTCCGAGTACAAGCTAAAATCCTTTCAACGGCCCATTGAGACCCAGTGCTATACTAGAGAAGGTTGCTGAAATTCCAGGCATTTTGCAAACCAGCTGAAGTCACTTTGGTAGACATCATCCACAGTGAAAGTATCTACATCATAACAATCAGTAAATGCTGCAAATCAGGAAGATTTTTTTGTGTTTGATTGGTTCCCCTGGAAAGCAGGTTTTTAAACATTTACTAGCATACCCCTGTAAAACCATTTGCTACGTGCTCCAGCAGCCCGCCCACCTCTCTCTGAACTAGGCACCCCTCATATTTTCTGTTCTCTCGGAGGGAAATGGTCTTCCAGCAGGTATATAGTTCCAAACTTCTGCCCTTTCAGTTTATTACTCAAGTGCTGCTTTCTCACTTGGAATGTAATCTTTTCTCCCTAACCCTTCGTGTTTTATTTTTTTCTACATACTTATCTCCATTTAATATATGATTTGGGGGCTCCTGGGTGGCTCAGTTGGTTAAGTGTCTGACTTTGGCTCACATCATGATCTCACAGTTCATGGGTTCGAGCCCCACATTGGACTCTGTGCTGACAGCTCAGAGCCTGGAGCCTACTTTGGATTCTGTGTTTCCTTTTCTCTCTGCCCCTCCCCTGCTTGAGCTCTGTTTCTCTCTCAAAAGTAAATAAACATCTGTGTGTGTGTGTGTGTGTGTGTTATTTGTTTTGTGTAATTTCTGCTCACCTCTCACCCACTGCCACCATTAGACCGTAAGCTCAATGAAAGCCAAGATATTTTTGCTTTTGCTATTGTCACTGTTCACAGCTGTATACCCAGCACTTAGAACTCGAATTTTTGGCACTAGAATAGGAACTCAGTAAACATCTGTGGACTGAATAAATGAATGGCCAAGATTTATCCCAGGAATGCTAAAATAGCTTAATATAAATAGATTTTTCTTATGCAATTCACAGACGTAAAGATGAAAGGAAAACATATGACTATCACAATACATGCAAAAATCATTACAGAAAAAATAGTATCTTCATGATTAAAACCCACAGTAAACTAGGAATACAAAGGAACTATGCAATCTATCACACAGATTTGCCAAAAATTTCATCATACTTAATGATAAAATGCTAGAAACACTTATTTATTATGTTTACGTAGGTTTCCCACCCAGTGTGGAGCCCAATTGGGGGCTTGAACTCACAATCCTAATATCAATACCTGAGCTGAGACTAAGAGTTGGCTGCTTAACTAACTGAGCCACCCACGTGCCTAGAAACACTTAAGATTAGGAACAAGATGGGTGCCTGGCTGGCTCAGTTGGAGGCACATGCAACTCTTGATCTCGGGGTTGTGAGTTTGAGCCCCATTCTGGGTGCAGAGACTCTGTAAATAAATAAAACTTAAAAAAAAAAATCAGGGGTGCTTGGGTGGCTCAGTTGGTTAAGTATCTGACTTTGGCTTAGGTCATGATCTCACGTCCTGAGTTTGAGTTTTGCATAGGGTAAGCTCGAGCCCCACTTCAGGTGAACTTGAGCCTTGAAGTTGGAGAGCTTCTCTCTCTGTCCCTCATGAGATTCTCTCTCTCCCCATGCCTCTTGCTTACTTGCAACTCTCTCCAAAATAAGAAAAAAAAAGATTAGGAATAAGAATAAAACTCAATCATTTACATTAACTGAAAAAGGTTAAAAATTTTCATTAAAATGCAGATTATCAGAACGTATTCAGAAAAACTCCACCCAGCATATGTTTAAAAAAATTTATATATGGGGTGCCTGGGTGGCTCAGTAGGTTGAGCGTCTGACTCTTGATTTTGGCTTAGGTCATGATCTCATGGTTCATGAGATCAAGCCCCGTGTCATGTCAGGCTCTGTGCTGACAGGGCGGAGCCTGCTTGGAATTCTCTCTCTCCCTCTCTGCCCCTCCCCTGCTCTCTCTCTCTCTGTCTCAAAATAAATTAATAACCATTTAAAAAATTTATATGTAAAGACATAGATTACTAGTGAAAGGATAGAAAGATACATGATGGCAAACAGTACAAATGTTTTCTGACAAAGACATTGAGTAATTTCACTGGGAGAAATGGCAGTCTTTTAAACTAATGATGATAGAAAAACTGGACATCATTACAGGGAAAAAAAAAAAAAAGGAAATTTGATTCCTATCTTACTCCAAACACACAAAAATGAATTCCACCTGTCAAACCTAAAACTATGTAACTCCTAGAAAATAAACGTAAGAGGAAAACTTTACCATCTTGAGGTAGGCAAAGATTTCTTAAGACACAAACAAAACTAATCATTAAAGAAAAAAATGCAACAAACTAAACTTCATTGTAATTAAAATTTTCTGTTCCTGAAAAGACACTATTAAGGAAATGAAAAGGTAAGTTACTGATTGGGAACACGCGTTCACATATTCACAAGGGCATAAATGAGAAAGGTCTTATTTCCAGACTATATAAAGAACTCTTTAAATTTAACAAAGAGACAAACAATCTGATTGTTTTCTAATGACAAAAAATTAGAAGACACTTTCCAAAGGAACATGTATGAATGACCAAAAGGCAAATGAAAAGGTGCTCAATACTATTAATCAGGAAAATGCAAATTAAAACGACAATGAGATAGCATTTTGTACCATTACAGAATTAGGTCATTTCCTAAGAGATATTAAAATGTCTACCCACTAAAAGACTTATACAACAGTGCTATAGCAACTTTATTCACAATAATCAAGTTCTAGAAAAACACAAAATATCCAGAAATAGAATGGATAAATTATATATCGATACAATAGAAAACTACTCAGTGAGAAAAAAGAATAGGCGACATGTGCAATGGCATAAATCTCAAAACCACTGTTAAAGGAAAGCCAGAAACGAAAAAAGCACATACTGTATGAATCCATTTATATCCAACCATGGCAAAACTAATCCCTGTTAAAGAAAATCAGAAGAGTGGTTGCTTTTGCTTTTACCAGGGGCAAGGTGGTGATAAAGTTCAACAGCCAAAGACTATCAGGGACAAACTAGCAAAGTCAGGTTTCTTCACTTGCTTAAACAAGAGAGAGTAGTAACCCAAGGGAACACTGAAGGGCCTCTTTGATGAGAGGAAGTAGGGAGGTTGTCTTTTGTTTTTGTTTTATGTAAGTTTGCGGCTGCTAATAACCCTACAGAGTGGACTGGAATTGGAGAGACTTGTCTGAACTTATGATTTAAGAGGTAGAGGGAGAAACAGAAGAAAAAGAGAAGGGTAATAAATATCACCCCATTTGACAAGGGAAAAAATTCAGATTAAGCAATTCTGCCCTTGTGAAGAAGCTAGAATTTGAATTCAATTCTCATGCCAAATCCCAAACTGCCACACCTATACTTGGCAAATATAAGGAAAAGAAAGATGGGCATCAATCTACTTCAGAGTGGCTCTGTGTAGTAAAAGTTTCAGGATTTTAACATCTAATTTACTCTACTTGAAACAGCAGTCACAAGGGAACAATCGAAGGGACCACATACTACCAAACAAGCAAAAAAAAAGAGGACATTTCTCCTAAAAGTTTGTTGTAGTGAATAACGAAGTCAAACGTTTGCTGACTTCTCACTGGAACGCAGAATATGAATGAGCTCCAATAAGAAGCCTGCAACCTTTGTTAGTCGTTCAACGAACGTCTCTGTTTCTGCAGAGAACGCTGTGGACAAAAAACACAAACAAAAACAAAAACAAATCCCGAGTTTAATTACAAAATAAGAAACTCTCACATTGGAACTTATCCTCTAGTGAGGATCCCAAAAAGAAACAGGCACGGCATTTTTTGCACTGCTTGTGGAAAGGCCGGATACTGTTGTATCAGCGATCCTCAAACTTCAGTGTGTATTCTGACTCCTGGAAAGCGTGTTAAAACACAAGTTCTGATTCAGCAGGTCTGGTGTGGGGCTGAGACTGCATTTCTGAAAAGCTCCTGGTGATACCGAGATTACCAGTGTGAAAGGGGTCGTGGGGACTAAAAAAGCATGAGTGGAAAGCTCCACTTTGAGTAATGGGACAGGCTCTAAGCAACTGGCAAGGAACTTCAAACCCCGTGCTTTTGAGGCAGGCGGAGGCTCCCGGGCCAGTAGAAACGCAGGCTACTCACGGCACCTCGGAGCCCCACACGCCCAGCGCCGGCCTTACCCCAGGATCAGCAGCGCGCTCCGCAGCTGTGTCCGCACCTCCAGGAACACGGGCATCCCCGCGGCAGCCGCCGCCATGGCCGGCGCCCGGCCGCAGCTTCTGGCGAAGCGGAGCCACCACGGCCAGGAGCGGCTGCACGTGCGGCGGTGATGGCCGCACGGGCCTCCCAGACCGGATCGCTGGGCGGACGCAGCCCACCAGCCCACAGCGCCGCCTGCCGGGCGGAGAGCGCGCTACCGCGAGGACTAGACCGGACAACGTGAGCGTTTTCAAATATGGGCCTCGGGTCTGAGTGGTCACAAAGGTGGGCAGGGAGAACCAAACGGTTCTCCCACTCTTCTCCGTGTGGGCGTGGCCAGGTGCGTTAGTCTCCCAAGACAAGACCTTAAAAATCGGAGCCGAGTACACTCCCTTGGCTAGCTTGGGTAGAAATAAGGCTGGAAGAAAGGGAGATGACCGAGGGAGGTGGTATAGAACTGGCACTGACCCCTGGAGGCCTGAGAGCAGATTTCTCCACCCCAAACTTACAATCTGGTTTCGTTTTTTAATAAAGTACAGTATCTTTTTTTATGAACTGTGGTCTGTCCTTTGCTAGCTCTCCTCTAAGGCAATAAACGTCCGAGATTGATTTGGCATTGCTTCTCGATTTAGACACAGTTGCTCCAAGATGCAAACAGTTGCAAAAATGTAAGAAGTTTTCTGTTACCGATGCAGAAGTGTGGTTAAATCAAGTGTCATGAATCATAGCATTAACCATTCCTATAACCTTTGAAAACAGGAAGATGAGAAAGATCCGCATATACATTTCCACTCCCCATATTTTCTATAAATAAAAACTTATTCACAGAAGTCATAATCTTATTACAACTAGAAGATAATTTTGGAAAGTTTGACATAGTAAAGAAAACGATCTACTACAATGTAAATACTTAAAATGGGGAAATATTAAAATGTAAAGCTATAGTGGTGGACTTACAATAAGAATTTTAATGTTTATTTTTGAGAGAGAGAATATGAGTGGGGAAGGGGGGGGGAGGAGACACAGAATTGGAAGAAGATTCCAGACTCTGAGCTGTCAGCACAGAGCCGGAAGCCGGGCTCAAACTCACAAACGGTGATATCATGACCCTGAGAACATGACCTGAGCCGAAGTCTGAAGCTCAACCTACTGAGCCACCCAGGAGCCCCAGTAAGAATTTTAAAAGCAAGAGGCTGGGGGGCACCTGGCCGACTTGGTGGATGGAACATGCCACTTTTGATCTCAGGGTTGTAAATTGGAGCACCACATTGGGTGTAGAGATAACTTAAAAATAAAATCTTACAAAAAAAAAAAAAGCAGAAGCTTTTAGTTCTTAAAAACAGAAACAATGATGTATTTCCGAATATAAATTAAGAAAATCGTGCTTATTGATTGCTTCTTAATTTGAAGATTTTCCAAATAAATAATAAATCCACTTTAGAGATACTATTTTAAGACAGTTTTTCTAAAGTATTTGCTGTTTTAAAGCTTATTGTGTTGCTTCACAAATTCCTGTTTTCATCACAATAATTCAAAAGCATGGATGGAGGTAACAATGCAGTTAAAGAATTGTATTTACTACTATTCCACTTCAAATAATGGTGATCATGGGTGATGATTTTAACTCCTAATATCTTCCACCTTTAGTTCTCAAGGCTATTGAGTCTTAAATACAGACACAGTATATTGAAGTATTTAAGTCTTAGCACAGCATGTGCTTCATACTTGGCATTTGGTTCTTTTTAAAGATTGCTATATTTCATATATATTCACACATTTATAAAACATAAAATCAGTCCTTTTTTTCTGTGATCCTACGGTTTAGGCAAAACTGCAACTTCCTGGTAGTAACTACATGATTTAGAGAGACATAAACTCAAAATGGTTCCAAATCTGATAACAACTATTTATCTCCTAACTTCACCAGTCTCTAACTTCTTCTGGGCCTCAAGTTCCTCATATGAAATATTGAAGAATAGTTTAAATAGCACTTAAGTAATTGTTTAAATAATATTTAAAAGCTGTTCTCAATTCCTAGCATTCCTGCCAACTCCTCATTAAGATGCCCCTGGTGCTGGAAAGTTGAAAACACCTGCTATTCACTTTCCAGGCCCATCCATCCCCATAGTTGGTGGCCCAACAGTCCGCTCGAGGGCGCTGTGGCGACAGCCAGAGCCGAGAGGCGAAGCACGGACCGGGGGCGGGGTTCGAGGGGCCGTCGACGTCGACGCCGGCGTGGGCGCGGGCGCGGTGCACGCTGGGAGCTGTCACTAGGCCCTTCGGCTCCCGGCCTCCGCGTCGTTGCCGCGGTTGCCAGGAGAGCGGCGCCGGCGGGGAGCGGCCGAGCCCACGGCAGGTAACAGCGTCCCCGCCCCCAGCGCGGTCGCGAGGCCGGCTGCCGGCCCTGAGCGGTCTCCTCGGCCTGGCCTGTTCCGGAGCTGCGGGGACGCCCCGCCGGGCAAGCTCTGTGGCGTCGGGGGTGTTGCCGCCTCGGCCCCGCCTGGAGCTTGGAAGCCGGCCGGTCGCCCTCCGGTTTCCGGAGAGGCGCGAGCTGCGCGGGGATCGGCGGGCCGGGGCTGGGCGGAGGCTCGAGGGCGGCCCCAAGGCAGTGGGGCCTCCAGCGCGGGGACCCAGCGGCGCGCAAGGTTGGGGGGGGAGGTCGCACCTGTGCGATAAAGGCGCACGGACTAACCTCTTTGTTGGTGGAATCCAGGCTTCGTGCCTTCTCATTCATCTGGTGGGTTCTTTTAAGATTGAGGAGACACGAATGCCAGCTATAGTTAAGGTTCCATGTGGGGGTTGGAAAGGAGTGCAGAAGTTTTTTAGAGGAAGTCAGGTTAGTCATAAGGAAGTTGTTAACTATTATCACCTTTGATTCTCAAGCCTTTTAAAGTTGCAGCATAACAATAGTTACTTGTTCGGTCTCTTCCATTCTTCACTCCTACCCGGAGGGGGGAGTGGCACACAACGATACTTATTTAACGCTGGAAGAACTGTGTTTCTGAACACTATAATGTATAGTTCTAAGGAGTTTGAGAACTATATTGTGATAATCTGATTTGGAGACTATAGTTAAAGCAATGAAACATTTTTTTGATAATTACAAAAAAGATAGGAAACTGTTTGCCTGACATAAGCTCAGAATTGTTCAAAGACAGAAATCTCTCAATTTTGATGTTCTTGGCTCCCTTCTACACAGACAGAAGATCTAGTATGTTATCATGGATAGCGTATGTTGACATTATGTGCTAAGAAATTCACCATCTCATAACATAATGATTTAGTTGCGCTAAGTTATAACAAGAGTAAACTAAAACCAGTTGTAGTACAAATGCTTTATTTTAGTGATCACTTTAAGCTGCTACTCCAAATGAAATCATTCCCCGTTAGTACCAAACAATAGTAAATTTCCAGGTGGGCCTAGTTATTAAGGAAACCAGGTCTTGAAGGAAGAATTAAAAATGCCTAAGTGAGTACACAAATCAGAAAATGTGACACCATAACCAGAATGTTCAACGTAAATTAAATGTTTGACTATATAGAGTTTAAAGAGTCTTATTTTGTAGTTCAAGTAGTGGAAAGAGCGATGGCCTAGGAATTAAAGATTTTGTTCAAATCCTTTGTTCTCCTAAAGAAATGTTATCTCTCTAATCAGTTTTGTCATCTGTAAGGTAATTTCATAAGATCAAAATTTTCCAAACTGATGTCTCCCTTTGAACACTCTTCTCAATCCATCAGTAGCCTTACTGCCCCAAAACAGTGTTCCATGGCAAATGATTTAGGGGTGCATTGGTTAAATCAGTTTTAACTTCTGATTTGCTTTTAACTGCAGGATTTCTCAAAACCTTTACTACTATGCTCATATGCATATAAATCTTCGGGGGAAGGTTATCAAAGCATTTTCTAAACTGGCCAGAAAGCCTATTTTCTCTCTCTTTTTTTTTAATTATTGTCACATTGGCTTCCGTACAACACCCAGTGCTCATCCCAACAAGTGCCCTCTTCAGTGCCCATCACCCACTCTCCTCTCTCCCCCACTCCCCCATCAACCCTCAGTTTGTTCTCTGTATTTAAGAGTCTCTTGTGGTTTGGCCAACCTGTTAACATTAGAAACATAATTACATAGAATACCGATTTGAAAATTACTGTACAGATCTTCCTCAACTTATAGGGTTGTGTCCCTGTAAACGCATCATAAATTGAAAATATAATTTGAAAATGTGTTTAATACATTTAACGTATGTTAAAAATGCTCAGTGTACAAGGGGCACCTGGGTGTCTCCGTCAGTTAGGCGTCTTTGGCTCAGGTCATGATCTCGCAGTTCGTGGGTTTGAGCCCCCATCAGGTTCTGTGCTGATAGCATGGGAGCCTAGAGCCTGCTTCAGATTGTGTCTCCCTCTCTCCCTGCCCCTCCCCAGTTGCCCTCTGTCTCTCTCTCTATCAGTATACTTACATTGACCTACAGTTGGGCAAAATTAACACAAAGCACATTTTATTATAAAAGTTTTGAATATCTCATGTAATTTATTGACTACTATGCTAAATGAAAAAGAGAATAATTGTGTGGATAAAGAATGGTTGTAAGTATATCAGTGGTTTGCCATGATGATTGTGTGACTGGGAGCTGTGACTTGCTGCCACTGTGAAAAATTATAAATCAGACTCTAATAAGATGGGACTGCCTATACCTGAGCTGCGTCTTCTTTCAACTCTAAAATTCCCTACGTTGTGCTTTTTATTTAGCTTTCAGTTTAAGCTTTCTGGGGCATGAAGATCTAGTGACAAGTCATTGGTATAACAAAAGGCTTATATTTTCCTTAATAAAATATTAAAGATGCACATAAGTTTCTATGTAATGCTTTAATTTATGGCAGAAGATTATCTTTTTCTGGTCTCTTGATGCTTTTCTTGAATCATAATTCATGTTTTGAATTTAATTTTATGGTTAAGTCATTGATTTTATTAAGAATGGCATTATAAAGTTCCAACAAGACTTGTTGATAATGGCATTTTTTTTTACTATGATTGAGTTCCCTCGCTAGTCGTGAGTTCTTAAA